GCTCCAGGATACCTTTCTACCTGAGCTGTGTAACACTCAGTATCCTTGGCTCCCGAGCTCCAGGATACCTTTCCACCTGAGCTGTGTAACACTGGGTATTCTGTGACTCCCGAGTGCCAGAATACCTGACCCACTCCTGTTCCATCCTGTCCTGACCCATCCCGACGAAACGCTTACACCCAGGCCTTGATTATTTTCCAAGGAAACTGGTCGCACCTTCTAAGTCCAAAATTTGTATTGCCTTTTCTACAGTTAGAAAGAAAAGATTTCCATCAGGGATTCAAGCCATTAATTCCATAGACAATCAAAAAATATCAAGCATGAGGACAAAAAGAAAAGTTACAGCCACATTGAAAACATCATGCAGGTAAGCAAACAGTCTATACTAGCTGCTAGAACATTCTGGACTTACAGAGAAGAGTAGAAGTTATAGAGGCTGGCATAGAGCCATGGCACTGTCATATGGTATCCTCTGTCTCCACACTGCATGAATAATCCCATTTTCCAAAGGTTCATCTTTAATAGACGGGAAATATGCAGCAAAGAAACAACTAAGCCAAATTGTTTCTAAGCCAAATTCACATCTGTCCTTATTAATGATGACACATTATTAATTGTTTATTGCACATGACCTGGACTCAGCAGTTTTCTTGGGCAAGCTTGCTAATTTCTTTTGTGGACAATGGCAATACCAAAAGCTGAATTTGTTTTTTACAATGTTTCATTTTTGATGTTAATTTCTATAAAGATGATGACAGTTTTACAGCTTGTCTACTTTATTTTTAGCCTTTCTTGGTGTTCTGTTGGAGAATTAAGGCTTACAGAAAATGATTGTGACTCTTTTTCTCATTTTTCCCAAAGACAGTACATAGCAACTAACACTGTAAATGGGAAAGAAGTGAGGGAGAGGGTGAGAACTCTATACAACACTTGTCTAAGGGAATCTGAGCTTACATTCCTCAAAACGCTGGCTGGGAAAGAACTGTAGGCCAACCATTTTGCATTTTCTATCTTTTCTTCAGGGTCTTGAAAAATTATGAATGCTAACTTCTTTTCTATCATGCCAAAATAAACTAGTCTTGGAACTAAAACAAGAAGCTTTATAGAATACTCTCATGTGAAAGTTTGGGCCCTGACTATTCACACTGTGATCTGTACATTAGTCTCTCAGCTGAATATCACATGGTCACCTCACTAGAGTCAGAGTAACATGATGAAGGTCATTCCCAGAACAAATTAAAGATAGAAACCACCATTTCAATAAACACTCTAGGGACAACTGTATAATTGCGCATCAAAGAATGAAGCTGAATTCCATCTTTACATGATATACAAAATGAACACAAAGCAGATCATAGATGTCAATATCAGCTATAAAGTGACAAGATTTTTAGAAGTAAGCAATCTTTGTGAACTTTGAGTAGGCAATGGTATCATAAATATGTCACTAAAAATATAAGTGAAAAACTAGACATGAAGGTGCACACCTTCAATCCCAGAAATCAGGATGCAGAGCAGATGGATATTTGTGAGTTCAATGCAAGCCTGGTCTATAAATCAAGTTACAGGTCAATCAGGCCACATAGTGAGATCCTGTCTCAAACACACACACACACACACACACACACACACACACACTTAAACTTGGTACTTCCAACTACACCAACAAAGAAAGTGAAAACACAACCAACAGAACAGGAGAAAATATTTCGAAAGCATGTATCTGACAAGGGAGATGCATGTAGACTATATAAAGAACCCACCACTCAACTATAAGAAGGCAAAGGATGAGTATATATTTATCTAAAAGTGTATTCAAATGGACAATAAGCACAAGAAAAGGAAATGCAAATCAAACCCACAATGAGATACCACTTTAAAGTCACTAGGCTGAATGACTATCTAAACCTGACTTGAAAAAAGGTGATATCAATAGATATGCTAACATGGACAGGCAAAAGCTCACAAGGCCTCAACCCTACATAAAGATCTGTAGGCAATTAAGAAATGCTCCCTAAGCTCACAGACTCCAGACTGACAGATGGGGAACCTGCATAAGACACCATGAGTGCCAGTTGGGTGACTTGGACAGTCTATGGAGCCACTAGCAGTGGAACCAATATTTATCCCTAGTGCATGAACTGGCTTTTTGGATCCCATTCCCTATGGAGGAATACTCTCTTAGCCTAAATACAGATGTGACAGACTCTGATGATCCCCCATGGGAGGCCTCAGCCTCCCTGGGGAGTGGATGAGGGGTGGGATGGAGGGTTGGTGGGGGGAATGGGAGGACATGAGGGAGAGGGAACTGGGATTGGTATGTAAAATAAGATTGTTTTTAATTTAAATATTTTTTTAAAAATAAGGCATGGGCCGGGCGGTGGTGGCGCACGCCTTTAATCCCAGCACTCGGGAGGCAGAGGCAGGCGGATCTCTGTGAGTTCGAGGCTAGGCTGGACCGATAGCCTCCAAAACAATACAGAGAAACCCTGTCTCGAAAAACAAAAACAAAAAAAAATAAGGCATGGGCTACCACAAAAGAAGGAAGGAAGGAAGGAAGGAAGGAAGGAAGGAAGGAAGGAAGGAAGGAAGAAAGGAAGGAAGGAAGGAAGACAGCCTAGGGAAGAGCACACCAATCGACTGTCCAATATCAAGTGGTCAGCTCTGAAAACATACACATACAGGTACCATTATACAAACTGAACATGTTCTATTTATGCATTTAGGGAAAAAAGAGGCCATGAATTTGAATGAGAGCAAGGGGGTGCATGGAAAGGTTTGGAGGGAGGAAAGGGGAGGAATGATATAATTTCAAAAAATAAAAAATGTACATATTACTATATAATTGTAATTACTACATAATTACTGTGTAATACATACTAGATAAGTATTGATGAAAAAATAGAAATCTAGAACCCTCATACATTGTTGGAAATGCGTGGAGTGGTCACTTTGAAAAACAATTTAGTACTTCTTCAATGTGTTAAACATAGCATTACCACGTAAGTCCAACTTAACCCATATGCATATTCCCAAAAGAAAAGAAAACATAAGTCCACACAGAAACATGAACACAGATAACTCTATTATTGTACTTAATATGCAAATTAATTGCATTATTCTTAATATACAAAAAGTTCAAATAACACAAAATCTGATGATTCACTGAATATCATGTGGAACATTAATAGAGTAGAATAGCATTCCATATTTAAAAATTGGGTTCTAATTCATGCTGCATGGCTATATCTATGTAAAATGTAAGCCAAGTGGAGACGGAGAGTAAATGAGTGGTTTCCAGAAGCTGGGAATGAAAGAGAAAATGGGGAGCAACTTCTAGTGGGCATGGAGGTTCTTTTGGAGATAACAAAAACATGTTCCAAAATTATACTGTGGTAATGCTCACATGGCTTTGTGAATAAACTAAAAGCCACTGAAGTGTATGCTATGCAAGTTATATTTCAACAGAGTTGATTTCAAAAAACATAAATGGAAAGCAACAGTTCTGTGTGTGAGGGTCATCAGATGCCCTGCCATCTATTTTGGAGGGCAATGTGGCCACCACTGACTGACTAGAATTAACATGAAGCTGAAACAAAGAAAGAAAAAAAACTAGCCATCTTTGTGCCTGACAGATCTCTATCCCTCAGTTTAGGAACGTGAAAATGATGCAGAAGATCACTTCCTGTATTAGCTGATGCCTTCAGGGAACTATCTATTTGGGAAAAGAAAAGTACTCTGGATGGTGGTGGCACTTGCCTTTAATCCCAGCACATGGGAGGCAGAGGCAGGCGGATCTCTGTGAGTTTGAGGTCAACCTGTAGACAGAGTGAGTGCCAGGATGGGATCCAAAGCTACACAGAGAAACACGTCTCAGAAAAAGAAAGGAAGGAAGGAAGGAAGGAAGGAAGGAAGGAAGGAAGGAAGGAAGGAAGGAAGGAAGGAAGGAAGGAAGGAAAGAAGGAAGGAAGGAAGGAAGGAACGAACGAACCAACGAAGGAAGGAACAAAGGAAGGAACGAACGAACGAAGGAACGAACGAACGAGAGGGAGGAAGAGGAGAGAGTGGGGAGGAGAGAGAGAGAGAGAGAGAGAGAGAGAGAGAGAGAGAGAGAGAGAGAGAGAGAGGGAGAGAGGTCCTCTGAAGAAGGATACAAAGAATCCAAGTGGGATCCAGCTTTCAGGCAATCTGTTGACATCACCCACAGAACCTGTTTCTGTTTTTTCCACCAGTGTACCAGAAGGAAAGCTATAGAGCCCCTGAGACCTGAAGGGCCTCTACAGAAATATCACAAGGGATCTCAAGTATTTGAGATACTGGCGAGTAAGGCTCACTTCAAGTGATAGCAGCGGGGTTTTGCCTTCAGTGTCTCACTTAATGTCACTACAGAAAGACTGAGTCAAGTAACAATCTTCTCAAAGACAATCTTCTAGATAAGAGCGGTTTGTTCAGAGCACCATTCTCTCCATCCTCAGTCCTGTTCATGGTGTCTCAAGCCCTCCAGTATCTGTTCCAGATGGTAAAGGAAGTATTACAGAGGATCAGCCTGTGCCATTCAGTACTCAGGAACTCTATGTGCTCTTTAAGTAATACCCCACTTATGTGGAAAATTGGGTCTATGATCACAGAGCTAGCCATGTGCCCTAAAGAAACAAGATCAGGCAAGAAATGAGGGGAAATGGCCCTCACCATACTGTCTCTTTCATAGTAAAATCTAAGGCAACACCAAAAAAAAGAAAGAAAAAGTGAGAAGGGCAGGAAACCAAACCAAACAAGTCTAGGAATTGCCTGCTTATTTGGGTCAGGCTATGTCTTATGGATTATAAAGTGTCCTATCTGATTGGGAGCGTTAATGCCACCACCATCAGTATCATTGTGGCAGAGACATCCATAAAATGGATGTGGCTAAGAAAATAAATGTACACACATTAACAAATACATATGCATGCAGATGTAAGAGGAAGTTCCCCACCATCTTTTCAGTCATCTATGTCACTTACTTTTGTACTGTTGGATGGGGTTTCACCATTGCTGCAGAAGCTGCTCCTCCAACAGCAGCAGCAGACTCTTGGCTTTCCATAGTTTGATTTTCAGGTCTGAATTTCCTGCGGATAGGCTTTGATGGAGGCTGAGCATGTGGTGCATCCTGTGGATTAAAACGTAAACCCAAAGTGCTCAAAAATTTTTAATGATTCTCCATCCATTATGCCACTATCCACAGCTCTGTCCCCAAGATCAGAAGACTTCTCTATCCAGACTATACACCACAGACCTATGGCTGATGCCTGGCTCAGCAAGGACCAGAGGGATGCTGACAGTGAGATGAAGCAAACAGCCTGCCTGTCTTTCTTTTAAAAATGTACTGGGGGCAGGTGGGGATGGGAACATGAGGGATTAGGTGGATGGGAGAAGAATACTAAAAGATTCAACTGGAAAGGGGGCCATTTCAATGTCAGGTAGGAACCTGGTGCAAGAGAAACTCCAAGGAATGTACAAGGCTGACCACAGCTAAGGCTCCCAGCAAAAGTGGATACGTAGCCCGAAGGGGCCATCTCCTGTGACCAGGTGAATCTACCACTAGAAGGCTTGGGACACAAACCTAGCCATATAAACTTTGACCTAGTCCGTTCTGCCTATGGAACAGAGTGACACAGAGATTGTGGAAGTGGCCAACTAATGACTGCTCCAGCCTCAGACCTGTGCCATAAGAGTGAGCCCACCCCGACACTGCCTGGAGCACCAGGACCCAAAGGCTGGATGGCCCAGAGACTTAGGATAGAACCAAACACAACCGGAGGGAAATATATCTCAATGTAATGATACTCTGCTATACTCAGTGATTGGTGCCTAGCCCAATAGTCATCAGAGACTTCATCCAACAACTGGTGAAAACAGATGCAGAGACCCACAGTCAGACATTAGGCAGAGCTCAGGGAATCCTGCTGAAGAGGAAGGAGGATTGTAGGAGCCAGAAGGGTTAATGACATCACAAGAAAACTCACAGAATCAACTAGCCTGGGCTCATAGCTCACAGAGACTGAACTAATAATCAGGGAGCCTACATGGGACTGACCTAGGCCCTCTACATATGCGTGAGAGTTGTGCAGTTTAGAAATATTGTGGGACTCCCAACAGTGGGAGCAGGGATTGTGTTTGACTCTTACCTGCTTTGGGGACCTATTCTTCCTACTGGATTGCCTAGTCCAGCCTTAATAGGAGAGGAGGTACCTAGTCTTACTGCAACTTGATATGCCATGGCTGGCTAATATCCATGGAAAGCCTTCCCTTTTCTGAAGAAAAGAGAAGGAGTGGATGGGGGCAGAGGAGAGGTGGGAGGCAGGGACTGGGAGGAGGGGATGGAGAGGAAACGAGTCATGATGTAAAACAGAAGGAAGAAAAAGAAAGAAAGAAAGAAAGAAAGAAAGAAAGAAAGAAAGAAAGAAAGAAAGAAAGAAAGAAAGAAAGAAAGAAAAGAAAGACAATATACTGCCCCTTTCTGTCATCAAGAAGGACACCAAAATAAGATCTAGTAGACTTACCATTTTCCTTTTTTAATATTGTAAACAATCCATACTTTCTTGTCATTCTAGCTCACATAGAATTTGTATAACCCTGAGATCTTTTCTTATTGAAGAAAAAAAAATGACTCTTGCCTCATTCTGGGGCAAAGTCTGTAATGGTCTTAGTCATGTGCTCATCATTCTCCTACTGCTGATTCCTACATGCCAATGTGTTCAAAGAAACAGTTGATCTGCTTCCTTGGAGGACCCCACGTCACCTTCCAAGTCCAAGGTTCACTCTCTTTGCTAAGAGAATGGCCTAGGAGACAACGCTGAAGAACAAGAAGATGGTGAGAAAGGAAGTAGGGAACATGCTACTTAGTGAGTACTGCTAGCTGTGCAAACAACAGGGGCCCATGGCATGGCCAGGCAAAAGTAAAGGTGCCAAGACGCAAGAGAAAAACCCTGACATCAGCAGATGGGGAACAAGAGAGGACCAACAAAGACAAATGCCTATGGAAATGTGGTAGTGAAACTTACTGCTCTGTATGCTATTTTTAAGAACTAATAAAACAACAAATCAAGAAAAGAAATAAATCATAGTACCAAGAAGGGAAACCTGTTCCACCCACAGGAGGTGCTAACTGGGTATTTAATGCCACCAAGGGTCACTGTCTGAACTATATGGTCCCAGATTCTTGATGTCTTATTCAAAGAATTTTAAAATGATCACACAAATGGAAAAGCAGAAAGAAGCTTGATTTAAAGAGATTTAAAGCACAGTAGACAACAAATCAGTCTCATAAATGGACAGTATGGGAATCGCTGAAGAAATCACTGGGCTACTTGAGCTAGAGTGTCCAGGAATAGCAAGCTGTTGCCTGTAGCTTTCTTTAATGACATTCAAGAGAAGGAGAAGTTGGTTACTAAGGGGTGTAATATTGAGAATTCTTTTTGATTGACAGACTTGAGTTATATTAACCTTTTTCTCACTGTGCATGCCCTTTCCTATGATACATCTGATATGAATCCTATGCATGTTCAATCATACATAGACGTAAGATGTCAAATAGGAGATTTCCCTTAAAAGTTCATGCTTAAGACACAGGTTGCCTTAATGCACATGCATCTAAAACTAGGTCAGGCCAGATGGACTCCCTGTGTGTCATCCCTGATATGCTCTGGGGCATTTTTCAAAGGAAATTGACCACCAAAGACCAACTACGAAATGGATGACAAGGAAGGAGTAATTTATGCCATTGTTTGAAGTGAGGTATGCAAGAAACTTGATGCAAGTAAGAGCCCTAAGTTGCTGGGTGCACTGTTAGGAGAGCAGTGTGTGCATATCCAAAACCAAGTAGAGTCCAAAGTCACTAAGCTATTCCCATACTCATACTTTAGTTTTACTAAAGCCATCCAGCTCTTCCCACAGTTTAAAAGTATTTATTTATTTATATGTTTTATTTATATATTATTTATATGTATTTTATATGTCTGTGTCCAAGTGTATATATGTGCACCATATGTGTGCAGTGCTCGCAGAGGTCAGAAAGTAGTGAGCCACCATATGGGTGCTGGGAACTGAATCCAGGTCCTATGCAAGAGTAGTAAGCACTCTTAACCTCTGAGCCATCTCTCCTGCCGCTCCACAACAGTTTTTGATCTTGCCAAAAGCAAGGCAGCTATGTTTAGCTGGAAGGTTGAGGAGAGTCAAAACTGCTAGGGACATCCACAGTCTACCCCAGAATCTCCTAATTTTCAGAAAGAATGCATGCTTCAGAGCTGTGGGTCAGTTCCATTCATCTCGGTGGAAACTTTAAAATGGCAGATTTGTAAGAAGCCCAGATGTCTTTACACTACCACAGCAGTACCTCTCGGCTGGCCTTACCTTCTTTGGACTGCTCTCTGCAGCTTGGGAAGGAGCTCTGTTCAGCTGAGGGTGTAAGTCAGCTTCAGACACTGGTTCAGACTGCAGCAATATCAAAGAGAAGGTATAAATGCAAAAAACCCCAACCATGGAAACATATGACAAAGAACACTCTGGAAAAGAGTCACTCAGGGAGACCAACTCACACTGAACTGCTGATGCTTAGGGAAAATCCTCCACCACAGACCTTGCTATTCCCTTCCATGTCTGCTGCCAGTATCAGTCAAGAAAAGGAACCATGGCCATCTCATATATTTTCAAATACAGATTTCTTTAAAACTAACACTTTACAAAAACTACAAAAATTATCAGAGGAGAAAGGGCTAGGAAAGGACTTAAGGAGCACTTAGAAAAGCAATCAGCATCATAAAAGACCCATAATTTGTAATATTAAATTCCTAATAAAGAAACACTATATGGACTGGAGAGATGGCTCAGCATTTAAGAACTACATTTCCAGAGGACTGAAGTTCAATTCTCAGCACCCACACCAGGTAGCTCACAACCATCTACAACTCCAGCTCCAGGGGAGTAGATGTCCTCTTCTGGCCTCTAAAGGCACCAACACACACCCCACTTTAAAAATGACACACTCTAATAAATATAGCATTTACCTTTAAAAGGGATGGAGGTGTGTAATGGATGTAGTAATCAAAAAGGCTGACTATTGAGTGCACAAAGACCAATGAGGGATCCTCCAAAGCATTTCAGGATATAAAACATGGCCAAATAGAACACAGGGTAAATGGGTCTCACATAGGGTTTCCTGTGTCCCCAAGGCTTGCTACCTTCAGTTGTGTTAGAGTACTTTGCTTTGGGCTGTTATTAACCAGTGATGCAAAATATTAACATGATGAGAAAACCAGCTACTAAGAGCAAAGTGACTTCCACATTTCACTTGCAGTCCTTCATTTGCCCCAAAACTAATTCACACTACAAAAACACAGATTGTAGCACAACCAACTGCCACTCTGTCTCTTACATGGCCACCTCTAGCCTCCTACAGCATGCCATCTTTCCTGTAGCACTACTGAACAGGCTGGCTCCCATGGGGCTAACATTAACAGATTCTGGCCACTTCTTGTATTCTCTTCATCCAACTTCCTTCCAAAATAGCATCCTTGGTGATCTTAGGTGGCGGAGAAGTGACAATCTCCTAGTTGTAATTTCTCTTCCTTTTCTGCTCTGACTGCTCTTCGCCCTGAAAGGTGGACTCTCTTGGGATTCTCTGTCTTCAGTTCTCCGGCCCATTTCCTTCCCTGTTCATTCTTTCCCAGGATAATCCCATCTACTCCTGAATTTTACTTATTTTTCATTAACTAATTTATTTATTGTGTGTGCATGCACATGTACATGTTGGTATATGTGTGGAGGTCATAGAGGACCTCTTGTGGGAATCAGTCCTTTTGTTCCAAGATGTGGGACCCGGGGATTCTGCTCAGGCTACAAGGCTTAGCAGCAATCACCTTTAACCACCGCACCACCTCACATGCCTATTTGTTTGTTTGTTAGCTTGTTTGTTTATTTGTCTGTTTTGCAGTACTGGAGATTGAACCTAAAGCTCACACATAGGAGGCAAGCACTCTTCCCCAGTATCCCCAGCCCTTGTTCCTGCATTTTATCCTAAATAAGTCTCTACCTCTTTTAAATCTATATACAAGCATTCAATCTGCCTAGTTTCAAGTTCCACGTATTTCTTACAGCTTCTGCTTCCATTAGGGACAGCTGCGTTATTCCTGCTGCTGCTGTTGCTCTGATTAGACTCTATGACACACTGAACTCTATGTATAAGTCATACATTGCTCAAGTGTTCTGCATGAATTATGTCACATCATCACAGCCTTGAGAAGCAGTTAGTATCCCAGACTACTGATGACAAAGTTAAAGAAGTCAAGAAATTCACACAAAGATCATACTAATAACAGGGTCTGAAGCCAGCTTCAAGTTCCAAAGCAAGACCTGTTACCATGGTCGCAAGTTCTATAGCTAGGCTTGTTACCATGGTGCAATACAGCCTCAGGCACCCGTAGGCCTCAATGTTGTTCATGCAAGGCATTATCTATCAGACAGCTTCTGCTGGCTGCCTATGCTTGCATTCAAGGATGAACAAGACACGGCCTCTACTTATAACCATCTGAGAGTCCAGTGGAAGAGGCAATAAATAATCAAAGATGCATGTTTCAATGCAGTGTGGTAGATTGAATGGGGATTATAGATGCACTCATTCTTGTAAGACAGTAAAGACCTAGTATGTGATGCTTCAGCTGAGGTCTGAATGACACGTAGGATGCAGTCAGCTACAAGAGCTGTATGTGTGGATGAGGAGAGAGGTAGGTCTGAAGTAAACTCACAAAGACCTATATATACTCAGACAACCAGAATTTTAGTTTGGAATACCACAGAAGACTGAGGCCAGTCTCTCAGACAGGAAGTTTAAAAGGATCGATGTCTTAGTTAGGGTTTCTATTGTTGTGAAGAGATTCCATGACCATAGCAACTCTTATAAAGGAAAACATTTAATTGGGCTGGCTTACAGTTTCAGAGAGGTTTAGTCCATTACCATCATGGCAGGAATCATGGAGGTGCACAGGCAGACATGGTACTAGAGAAACAGCCTAGAGTTCTACATCTGGATTGGCAGGCAACAGAAAGAATGAGAGCCACTGGGCCTGGCTTTGACATTTGAAACTCTAAAGCCCACCTCCAGTGGCACACTTGCTCCAACAAGACCACACCTACTCCAACATGGCCACATCTCCAAATGCCACTCCCTATGCATTCAAATATATGAGTCTACGGGGATCATTCTTATTCCAACCACCACAAGCAGGAATGGGGAGAGCTTGTTTTCATGTATGTCAAGTTCAAGTGTAGCTTTCCCAGAGACATACATTTTCAGCAGTCTGTAGAGTGTAGCATTCGCTCCTTGTCCCAGGAAGTTCTGAGTCATACACCAAGATCCATGAGTCAAATGTCAGTTTTCTGAGCTGAGTGAGGGCTCACCACCCACTCAAATACAGGGCTTCTGGTGAAGAATCAGTCTTGTACCTGAGGTCCCTTCCTACCTTTCACTTGCAATTTATTACTTGGAAGGTATATGCTCTGGCCCCAAGTCTATGCATGCATGCCCCTGCAGGGACACAGGTGTGCAGAACAAATCCCAGCAGGCAGACAGACAGAGAAGGAGTGGCAGGCCCGGGTATTCTGCCTTTTGATTTGCCAGTTCTCTTCCATTACAAAGCAGGCAGAGAAGTGTGTCTTCCATTGATTCCCTGTGGAGATGTGTGAAGTTCCATATGGAGATGCTGAGGGGGATGTCAAACTGACCTTTTCAACATAAATGAGGATTGGGAGCACAGCAAAAGTAGTAGATGGTCTTTGTTACTGCCGCCTAAAAATAAGCAGCAATCAGGTAGAAAGCTGGGGAGACAGTGGGAAGACTTGCCTAAGGTGCTTCTTTTCCATTTACAAATACACCTTCCTGAAATTGTATGCAGTAGCCTCACGGTGTTCTTGCTCTATGACTGAAAACAAACAACTGCATAATATTGACTCAGGACCTCCCCACCACCTTCTGGTACCCCACGACTGATTTGAAATGGGTTCATCTACTGAGTAGTCAAAGGAATGAATCTCACAAAGGATACAACATAGGAATTGGGAGGTGGGTGCCAGAAGGTGGCACAGGCAAAGAAAACTAGCTCAGTGGTAAGAAAAATTGAAGATGGAGACTAGAGAAACAGTTCAGTGGTTAAGAGCATCAGAGGTACCGAATTCAATTCCCAGCACCCACATGGTGGCTCACAATCATCTATAGTGGAATTTGATGCCCATTTCTGACATAAAGGCATACATTCGGATACAGCATCCATATACATAAAATAATTTTTTAAAAAGAAGAATTATAGATTAGATTCAGACATGCAAAACTTCCTCATCACAATAAGCTAACCTACTTTCCTTTGTGAAAATGGTATGCGTCTCCCATCAGGCTTAGCAGCTAGGTGGCAGAATAAAGTGGGGAGGTCCCTCTACTATCTCTTCACACAGTTCTAGAAGAGAAATGATGCAAGTAGGAAGTAGGAAGGCCTTGGTACCTGGCTCCTTCCTCTGTGGATTCAAGACAGTAAGGGTGGGAAAGCATCTATTACCTTTGCAGTATGGCCTTGTCCAAAAGTCCTGGTTGTATGAGCTGAAATACAACACCCAACTCCAATGAAAGAAGCTTATGTTTGGTTTCTAACTGATATGCTTTCATGGCTCCAAGTGAAGCAACATACACTCAGTCAGGATGCAGAAAGCCAGGTCATTGAAAAATCAAGCTAAGGTTCAAAATACATAGTTACATGCATTTATAGATAATATATAACGTTTGATCATATTCACCCTGTCATGCTCTCTTGTCCCCTTCCACTGACCCTTTCCTCTTCCTTATGAGTCCTCCTTCTATATTTATGTCTTTCAGTTGTTTTTGTTTTTCTTTTTGGGTGGCCCAATGAGTTTCATTAGGGTTGCTTATAAAAGCACAGGTAAAGGGGCCCTTTATAGGAACATGGGCACCTTATTAGAAAATCTCTGAAGAAAATCTCTCCCATCTCTAGCCACTATTAACTGCCTATAGATGCTCAGGTGGGGCTTCATGAGCTCTTTCCCCTTCCATGACATATTTTGATGGGCCCAACTGTGTACTGATCTTGTGCTGGTAATTACAAATTCTGTGAGATCAAAAGTGCAATGACCATGTCCTGTCTGGAAGTCAGCATTCCACACCACGCCCCCTACTTCCTCCAGCTCTTCCGTTCTTTCCACCCTCTCTCCTGTGATGTTTTATAAGCCCTGTAGGGGGTGCTGTAGATGTCCCATTTAGGGCTGCACAATCAACAGTCACTTATTTTTAGCACTTTGACCAGTTATGAATCTCTGTATTAACCACAACTCCCTGCAAAATGTGGCTTCTTTGATCAAAGTTGACAGTTGCACTAGTCTATGGCTATAAGGATAGTTTTGTATCAGGCATTATGACAGGCACATCATGCCCATTA